CAATCAAACGGCTGTCACCTGGACACCTTTACTGTGTGAGTGGATTTTCTCCTTTAAGGAGTTTCTGTCAGATGGTGTTTCTGCTCCACCAGTCACTCACTCACACATCGTTTCACTTCCCTCTGAGAAGCCGCTCATGCACATCAGAACTGACACAATCATCACAGTTTGACCTGAAACATGTCAAACTACAGAGGAAATAAAACAAAGTAGTTTGTAAATATTTTCAGTTCTGTGAGATTTTCCACAAATTTCATTTATTCAAATATATTTACTATAAAAAATATCAACTATTAGATAATTTGATCCACTGTTAAAAGATTTTATCAGCACAGAATTAGGATAATGTGTAAACTCAATCAGATCTTGAAAACACCAAGTGTCTTTAGAAAGGTATCAAAATTGTTTAAAATGTTTTTTTAAGGATAATTTAAAAGTTGAGAAATTTAAAAAAAATTTTCACCCAAAATATCAAATCCAAATCAGTTCAAAATGGAGGTGTAAAGTTGAATATTTGAACATTTTAAAATTAGTCATTTTTAAAAGTTAAATCTACAAATTTTCACATAGAATATTCAGACTTTACTGTTATTTTAAAGTTTAGTATTGAAGTAGAAACTTACTTCCAACCTCCAGTCTGTTTCCTCAACCAAAAATCCCCCACAGTGATACACACTCAGTGAGCCGCCATAAAAAAACATCTGACTGTAGAGCTACGGCTCTGTGAGTTTGTCAGACTGAACTAAACCTACACACTGTTGAGGTGCAACTTTACCATTGGAGTCTGAAATAATGATTTATCCTCTGGATTAATATTTCATATTCATCACAGTAGGTTTTTAAATGCATTTTGCTGTCACAGACTTTTTCGCTTACTACAAAACATTTCAGATAAACTTAAGAGTTTAAAATACATAGTACAACATAGTGAGTATTTTTCCTTGAATGTTCAGTATAAATAAAATAAAAAGCAAAAAGGTTTTTGAACATCTGACTTACTTCCAATCTCCAGTCTGGTTCCTCCACCAAAAGTCCACCACAGTGATACAAAGTCACTGAGTCGTCGTACAAAAACCTCTGACTGCAGAGACACGGCTCTGTGAGTCTGAAACAAACAAACTCAACAAACTTAATGTGTTTGTAAAAGAAACTTTCGGCAGATAGAAAAAACAAAAATAACCAACTACTTCAAATATTCAAAATATGTATTTTATACACATTGTGCTTTAAATTACATGTTTTATTTAGTGTTGTAGTTTCCATAAGCAAGGAAGCAGTGTGTCTATTAGAATAAAACTGAATTAATTAAAAACAACAACAAAAAATTCCCAGATTCATATTTCCTAAACATGACTGACCCACTGATCCCAGGCTGACCAGAGGGATCCCAGTCCCTGCTGGAGTCAGTCAGAGCATTTCCATAGAGCCACTTTGCATCAGCAGCACCATATGCTCCAGTGCTCTGGGAGAGTTTATAGTCCTGAGAGCTGAACACTGGAGGACTGACAGCTGTCCTTCATGACAACAGGAGCCACACAAATCCTCCTCATCAGAAACATGACTCTGATCTCCGTCCTCATCTGGACTCTCCTCTGCTGCTGCTTCACAGGTAAAGTCCAGAGAATCCAGCTCCTCTCCTCTATGAACATCCGTCCCTCTGAAATGAAACCGACAAAACCGTGATGCTGCTTTATGTGTTTGTTTCTATGTCCTCAGAGTCCAGAGGCCAGGTCACGGTGACTCAGCCTGGAGCCGTCAGCTCTGCTCTGGGAGCCTCCGTCACCATCAGATGTAAGACCAGTCAGAATGTT